CTTGAGCCCAGGAGTTGGAGGTTGCTGTGAGCATGATGCCATGGCACTCTACCCAGGGGGATAGCTTGAGGCTCCATCTCAAAAAAAAAACAAAAAACAAAACTCCAACTCATTAATCCATGCTAATTAAACACTATAATTAAAATTTCCATGTAAGTGGAAAAGGAAATGAAGCAGTTAGTTACCTGTTTTGCTTAAACAGTCTGCAGAGGAAAGTGGTTACTACAGATACAGCAGGCAAAACATTAGACTGACCCTCCAGAACACAGTGTGTCAGTTTCAGCCTCAGATCGTGCTAAATGCTCATCACTAGTGTGGCACATTTTGGTCCAGGGTGTGGTTTAATGCCAAGACAGATCCAGTTTGTTACAGAAACACATAAATAAGTGCTGCTTTTTATTTTTTTTTAAATGTATATATTAAGTTAAAAAGGCCAGTATACTTCCACAGACAAAAGCAGGTTTCCTCAGGAGGAATTTATAGGAAATAGTTTGGGGTGTGCCGTGTAACGTGAGGTTCTCCATGACGAGGTGCTGGTCAGACTCAGAAGGAAGACTTTAAAGTGTCATCTAATTCCATGATAGCAACCTGGTTCCCACAACGGTAACAGTAATTGGGTGCACTGAAAATTGTACCCACATTCTGATCATGACACCAGTTGTACCCCTCCATTATAAGCTGGTGAGCACAAGAAACCAGAGTGAGGACACTGGCATGGATAAATGTTTCAGAAATGTCCAGATGTGTAGCCAGCCAGATGTGAGCCAGCACCACCTGGTGAAATACCCCACCCTTTGTGATCATCTGGATTGGACCATTGGGCCCTGATGTGGTACTTCCTATAAGCCATCCAGGGCAAGTCTTACATGGTCCAGTGTGTCTGTGGATGGAGAGAGACCACCATGGAGGTAGGATATCTGTCCATCTACTAAAGCTGTAAGTGGAAGATAATCAAATAGACCTGTAAAATATTTCCAAACATTGGCATTCCCATACTTTCGTAGACATTCCTACCAGTCATATACTTGGGTAATATTACCCAGTATATTGCCCAGTCATGTACTTGGGTAATTTGTTGGCTGTCTTGATTTCCTCTCAATATTGTAATGGGTTCTGTATAACGCACCTTTAATGCTACAAGAAGTCACAGTCTCCACTGAATAATAAACTCTGTCTACGTAGTCTCCCACGAATAAATAGTTTGTACCTAGGGATTTCTGACCAATTCTAAAGTGTTCCATAAGATCATGAAATTAACCGTGCATATCTCACAGACGGTAATAGGACAACGAACCTCTTGCACATTTGACTCTTTTGTTAGCATTTCTTTAGCCTTTTCCCACAGTGTCCACACTTGGTTTTTGTTAAGCTGTTTATACTCGTTAGCTGTTTGACCCACTGGTCTGGCTCCTCCGTGAACGCTTTCTGCCCTGGCCCCCTATGCTGCTCCCCTCTCCCAGCAGCAGAGGAGGAACTGGAATGCTGTAGCTGGCCCTGCAGCCTGCCCAAGCCCCTTACTTGTTTGTTTGTTTGTTTCTTTCTTTTTTTTTGAGGTTTGCAGTTTTATTAAGAAAACAAAAGTTTAACCTATACAAAAAGGAAAGACCTTCTGTTCCAGTGGAGACCATGCTGGCTGCCAGGCA